GGACTTCAACATGTTGGTTTGTCCATTGTGTGGAGAAAAGTCCTGAAATGTTTTCCTCAAAAAACTTAATTTCTTTTCCTCTGAAGAAAGAAAGACATGAACATCTTTGATGCTATTGGGGTTAGTAAATTATCAGGAAATTTTCATTTTGAGTTGAACTAATCCTTTAATATGTTTGGCATAAAAGAAAGGTCAATAATTTTGACCCATGCAATGTATTGTTGGCTATTGCCACAACTATACATGTGCTACTTGTGACTGGTTTTGTGATCCAGGGTCACATTTGGTTTTGAAGGTTTGTTTCGTGAATTGTGCTGATGTAAAACAAGATAATGCCACCATAACGTTATTTAGCTGTGGACACGGAAGAGGTTTTGTATTGTGGACAAGTCTTTGCACAGTATGCCATTTTCCCAGTGAAAGTTTTTTAAAGCTTATATTTAATGTAAAAACAAATGTATGTGTGTGTGTGTGTATGTGAGGCATGTGGAAGAAGAAGGGGCCAAAAGACAAATCCCTATGAATTGAGCCCCGTCCTGGAGATCCAGGGCAGGCGGCTGGTGTTGGCCCCAGATGGACCCCTGATTTTGGGGTTTGTGGTAGTAGCAGCGTGCTTGAAGTGAGCTGGTATCCATTATCCTTTCAAACATCAGCACTTCACTGTGGGAACCTTATTGATCTACAACTCTATAATTATTCTACTAGCTCTCTCTCTCTCTCCCCTTCTCCTTCACTCTTCTATTTTATCTTTCTGCTGAGCTCCTGATCCTTTCTTGCTCTCTTTTTCTTCCCTTTTAATTGCTTTTTTGTCTCTCTTATGTTCCTCTTCTCCCCCACACGTGCCTCATCCCTTCCCCTAATTCCAGCCCTATCTCTCGTCTTCGTCTCTCTTCCCCTCCCTTTCTATTTCAACGTTCCCTCACTCATTAAAGTGCAATGACCTTTTGTGTTCTAGCAAACTTGAGGAAAAGCTTCATTGTTTTTCTACAAGTAAATAAGACGGCTACTTTCTCATTTGTCTAGTCAGGATGCGGGTGTTCAGTCAAGTCAAGTTGTATCAAGTTTGCAGGTCGGCTTCAGTTCAGAATTTTACAAAGATCTGTTTCAAACGTTGAAACTCAAGAAAGTAGGTCTGATCAATTGATTGTCTGTTAAAGGAGATTATGATTACGGTCGGCCGCCATAATTAACACATTTAATCCTTCAAGCAATTAACGTTGACTCGACCACTTGTTCAATTTTGAGGTGTGAATTCAGATGTTTCAACTTAAGGAATCGGTTTTGAAAACTTGATAGATAATGCGTCATGTTTGATTCAGACTTCCGTTTCTGTAAAAGTAAATAATATCTTCTCACTGGTCGTTAAAGTTGCTGTATTAAATTTATATAGGTATGAACAATAGAGTTTGGGGTCAGTAAGATTTTGTTGAAAGAGACTTTCTGCCCACCAAGGCTGTATTTATTAGATCAAAAAATCAGTAAAAACTGTAATATTGTGAAATACTGTTAGAGTTTTAAATAATAGCTTTTTTAACAATGTAATATATTTTGAACTGTAAGTTATTTCTGTTTTCAGCAGTCATTACTTGTGCCATTCTTCAGAAAGTAGACTGAATTAGTGCTTTTTCCAGGATTCTTTGAGTAGATTGTTTGAAGAACAGCATTTATTTGAAATAGAAACTTTTGTAACACCATTATTGTCTTTAACTTTCACTTTTGGTCAATTTAATGCAACCTTGCTGATTAAAAGTATTAATTCTTCCATTTGAATGGTAGTGTATTTCAGGAATGTATCTCAACTTTCTTAAAATAAAATAAAAGAATATGACATGCAGCTGACACACACATACATCTTTTGATGTATTAATCTAAATTAAGTGCATTTACAATATTAATGGGCATAATATACAATTCATATTTTTTTAATACATTATACTTTTGTACTTTAATGCGTTGTCATATGCAGCTGTTTTCGGCTGTCTGCGGTGGTCTTCTGCCAAAGAAGAAAGTGGCTGCGTGACTTGATTTGAGATCTTCCTGTAAGTCCCTCAGGTTCAGTGGAGCTGGATCAGGAAGCTCCAGCCATTGATTTTTCTCTCTTCTCCTATTTTAAACCCTCCACAGTCACTGTCTCCACTCAGCTTTGGCCTCAAGGCTTCTGTCAGTTTAGCACGGACCCCTGGGATGAGCTGTACCGTAAAGACTACGCCACGGGCACAACCCTCAGCAGAGCTCCTGTGACCCTGTGTTTTGCTTTACTAAAACACTGTCAAACAAGCGAATGGCGAAATTACTTAAAACTACAATACTAACATATATTTTGCTCCAAATATGCTGATGTTGTCATTTACAAAGCGATACATGTGTTGGCTACACACAAACCTGTGGTTAGCTTGCTAACCAAAATGAACCTGATTTTATTAAGCTGTGCTCATACAATAATACATTCAAACTCCTTTTCTCATGATATTACATCAATAGTTCTGGAGTGAACTAACTTTTTTCTTTCTTTCTTTCTTTCTTTCTTTCTTTCTTTCTTTCTTTCTTTCTTTCTTTTTGTCTGCTGAATCCCTTTAAACATAAAATATTTAATTTAAGTACGTAATTTAAGAGATTTTAAGTTAATATTACTATTGAAGCATTCACTATGTTCACTGTTCACTGATATCGATATTAAAAAAATAATAGTAGTATAAAAATGAAGACTGAAATATTTTATCATTGTAAATCACAATTATACTGCTAAATAAAAAACAAAATTGATCATTATAATATTGATATGCACTGTGAGCCTCACTTTGAAACATTCAGTGCATCGGACTGAACAATTAACTACGACTTTTGTCTCAATAAACTCCTAATTAATTGTTATTAATAGTTAGTAAGGTAATTGTTAAGTTTATGTATTGGGTATGATGTAGAATATGGCCATGTAAGGCATTAATATGTGCATAATGAGTACTAATAAACAGCCAATATCTTTGTTATAGGCCTACGCATGATATTAAGCATCTAGTTAATAGTGAGAATTGAACTCCTAACTAAAGTGCTACCATATGTTTTGTTTTTCTGATTTCATTTGGAGGATTATCTCCTAAGCTCTTTGCGTTGGATTCTGGGATTGGAACTGATTGGAACGGCGCCAGTATTGTCTTGGGCACGGTAGTCATTGGGTTAGATGTAAAGTAATAACAGTTGTGGGGTCTCTATAGTTACAGCTTCAAACAGATGGGGTCACGACAGGCCTTCAGGTTCTTTTTGAAATGAGGTCACAAGCAAAAGTGAAACGATATAATCAATTTTCCTCATTACTGTACTCTGATGATCTGTTACTCTACAATTCACTGTGACATTTAGAAGAAACGAGCCTTGAAATATCTGGGAATGTGATAAATAAGCTTGATTGACAGCATCAGTGACATAGTCTATGGAGGAACACATTCGGCAGGTGTTAAAAGCAGAAATGTGAGAAACTTTTTTTTTTTTTTTTAACGCAAGAATTTATCCAATTTGTCCGTCTAGCCCTTGGACTGAAAAACAAAACAAACAAAAAAACGTATAGAGAGTTAAAAAAAAGAAATTACGTTGCAGATATAACTACGATTTTTGAAATATGTTTTACTTGAAACAGGCTTTCCGTTTGTCTTAAAGGACAAGTTCGGTATTTTACACTTAAAGCACTGTTTCAAGTTAGTTTCTGATTAAATACAACGGTTAAGATTGAAATTTGGACAGATGCTGTTGGCCCGATCATTTTCGGTTTCTGTGGTAACACCCCACCTCCACAATAGTTGCATATGTGCACTGGAACAATTCTTCATAAAAGAATTAAACTTCAGTTTACAAAGACATGAAACTCACCATGTGGTCTGGGGTGTTCACTGATATTCTCACACAAAAAAATAACTGCAAAAGATGCTTTCCAACAGGTTTTATCTCAGTTTTTGTCCTAGTCAAGTCAATGGCGTTGGACAAAAACTACGATAAAACCTGTTGGTTTTCACCCCAGACCACTTGGTGACTTTATGCTTTAAACAAGGACAAATGTATCTATCAATGAGTTGGAAACTTCAATTTGAATTAATGAGCTCATTGGCAGATGATACTTTGCATTTTAAACTAAATGTAGCCTATCTTGAATTAAGAGAATTTTTTTCTAAAATTAATTAAAAAGAAATGGATATCTGATGGAATATTTCTAATACAGCTTATTGTGTTTCTCCCTATAGACATTCAAGGAACATATTGACATATTGTGTTCCCTACAATTTATTTGGTTGGTCTTAAAAAGGTCTTAAATTTACCTTCATAAAACCTGCAGAAACCCAAATATTCAGACTTGAATCTTTTATTCAATGTGTTATTTGTGGTTGGATACTACATCACAGATGTATCAATTTTAGCATGCTAAATGATTTGTTAACACAAGACAAGTCTTTCAAAATGGTGTACTTTTTAACCGTTATCCTTGCCCTTGCCCTATAGACTTTCATAATAAGTTCATTACTGTAAGTGATTTATGCTTGTTTTCACTAAGCGAGGGCTGTGTCTGTGCCGAGAGCTAAACTTGCGTTTAACATTCGTTTAAGTCCCTGTCAAAGGGAAAGTGATGTGTGTTTGGAGGCAGGCATCACTAAACTGTGTCTTTAGACGGCTTTCCTGTGATAATTAGCCTGCTAGATGTAATCCGAATGGGAAAGTGGTTTACTTCGGCCACCTGTGAGTGTGTTTGTACACATGGTCATGTGAATGCGTTCTCACAAGGTCACTACAACAGCTGCAAGCCTGCTTATCTCAAATAGTGGACAGGTGTGTGTGTTTTTGCCCGTTGCGGCACGTTTGAGTGCGTGAATGTGTTTGGCCCTCGTTGAGTGATGGGAAACGGGACTGTGTTTTTTTTACAGTAGTACTGTTCTCAAATATTTGTGTGTTTTTGCTCTCAAATGTTTTTGTTTGTATCGTGGTTGAATTTCTTCTAAAGTGTTTTTCTCTCTGTACAGGAAGTTTGGGGAGCGCCCTCAACCACAGCGCCTGACAAGGTACGTTTATCACCTTCACATGCTATTAACAAACAAACAAGCTGAGAAAACTGAATAACTTTTATGCCCTCTGGTACAGCCGATATTTGTGCATTACGTGAAAATGTTTGCCATTTTTAAAGAAAAAAATGTTAAAATCTGTAAATTGGTTAACTATTACAGTTTCCCATTAGTAACGTCACATCTCATCTAATTTTACTATAAAATGTTAGCAAGTTTTTTGCAAGTAAAAATCTATTATTGTCAGGTAGTTTCTTCATATTTTTGCTATCAGTAATAATAACCCTCTCGAGTGTTTTGTGTTATGTATTATGTTAATTAGTTAGTTTATTGTATTATTTCAGCATTGTGTGTTATCCTATTTTTGTTTGAATGATCTGTGCACTGTCTATATATGAGTATTGGCCATGTTTTATGGACTTTCAATGAACTGATTCGTCATGTGGCCTTTTGTTTTATGAATTATCATGTTTGTAATATTATGATTTTGGTATATTAACATTAAATCATTTTATGAAATATGCTCACTTCCCACTTTATTTAGTACCACCTTGCTAGCACCGGGTTAGACTCACTTTTTACTTCAGAACTGCCTTATTTCTTCGTGGCATAGATTCATCAAGGTGCTGGAAACATTCCTCAGAGATTTCCATATTGACATTATCGAATCACACATTTGCTGTAGATTTGTCGGCTGCACATCCATGAAGCGAATCTCCAGTTCCACCACATCCTGAATGTGCTCTATATTGGATTTAGATCTGGTGACTGTGAAGGTCATTTGAGTATGGTGAACTCATTTTCATGTTCAAGAAACCCGTGTTGGAAGTGGCCAACAGAAGATGGGTATACTGTATGAAGGTATAAAGGGATTGATATGGTACAAAGGGGCCAACATGTACCAATAAAATATCCCACAAACCATTACACCACCACCACCACCAGCATGACCATTGATGCAAGGCAGTACGGATCGATGCTTTAATGTTGTTTATGCCAAATTTTGACCCTACCGTCTGACTGTTGCAGCAGAAATCGAGACTCATCAGACCCAGGCAATGTTTTTCCAATCTTCTATTGTCCAATTTTGGTGAGCCGTGTGAATTGTAGCCTGAGTTTCTTGTTCTTAGCTGACAAGAGTGGCACTCGGTGTGTTTTTCTGCTGCTGTAGCCCATCTGCTTCAAAGTTTGACGTGTTGTGAGTTCAGAGATGCTCTTCTGCAGACCTCAGTCCTAACAATTTGAGTGACTGTGCCTTTCTGTCAGCTCAAACCAGTCTGGCCATTTCTCCTCTGCCCTCTGGCATCAAGAAGACATTTTCGCACACAGAACTGCTGCTTATTGGTTATTTTCTCTTTTTGGACCGTTCTCTGTAAACTCTAGAGATGGTTATTCATGAAAATCCCAAAGTCACTTATATCACCTTTCTGCCCCATTTCGGATGCTCAGTTTGAACTTCAGCAGATCGTCTTGATCTTGTCTTCATGCCTAAAAGCATTATGTCGCTGTCATGTGACTGGCTGATTAATTATGTGCATTAGCAAGCAGTTGAACAGGTGTACCTTAAAATGGCTGGTGAGTGTATAATTTATCAAATATTCAGTCACCAATATGCCATTCTGTAATACCTAAAACATATATTTTTTTAAACGTTTATATTTAATTTCTACCAACCACAGCCTTTTTACAATACATTTAATATGATTTTGTACAGTGTAGAAAGGATTAAATTTTCCTTTTTTGGAAAATCTTATATTATACAAGTCATTTTCGAAATAAAATATATTCATAGTTTTTGCATCATTGTTGTAGACAAAAATGTGAAAGAAATATATGCACATTTATCGAAAATATTAGGTCTCATTTATCTTATATCACATTTATCGAAAATCTTATATCTCATTTATCGATACTCCACTTTTTTGGGAAATTGGCTCATTTTACAACTCCCCCAGAGTTAAACAGTTGAGTTTTACCGTTTTCGAATCCATTCAGCCGATTTCCTGATATTTAGAAGAATATCAGTAACCAGACAGTTTCTGGTCTCATTGACTTCCATAGTAGGGAAACAAAATTATACTATGGAAGTCAATGAGACCAGAAAGTGTCTGGTTACTGATATTCTTCTAAATATCAGAAAATCGGCTGAATACATTCGGAAACTGTAAAACCCAACTGTTTTACTCTGGGGGAGTGGTAAAATGAGCCTATTTCCAAAAAAGTGGAGTATCCCTTTAAAGGGTTAGTTCACCCAAAAATGAAAATTATGTCATTAATGACTCACCCTCATATTGTTCCAACTCCGTAAGACCTCCAATCATCTTCGAAACACAGTTTAAGATATTTTAGATTTAGTCGGAGAGCTTTCTGTTCCTCCATTGAAAATGTATGTACCTTATACTGTCCTTGTCCATAAAGGCAATACAGACATCATCAAAGTAGTCCATGTGACATGAGTGGGTTAGTTCGAATTTTTTGAAGCATCGAAAATACTTTTTGTTCCAAACATAGCAAAAACAACGACTTTATTCAGCATTGTATTCTCTTCCGGTTCTGTTGTCATTGCTCGTGCGGCATCCGCGACATTCACACTTACGAACCATTTTTAAAAAATATTGCAATACCAAAATACAAACAATGTAGAAAAGCTTGAATACAGCGCGCGTCTCCATCAGACTGTAAACGAAGCTCGGGCGCACAAGTTAACACGTCAGCAGCGTCATTGGAATCGTGAACGAGCAATGACAACAGAACCGGAAGAGAATACAATGCTGAATAAAGTCGTTGTTTTTGCTATGTTTGGACCAAAAAGTATTTTCGATGCTTCAAAAAATTCGAACTAACCCACTCATGTCACATGGACTACTTTGATGATGTCTGTATTGCCTTTATGGACAAGGACAGTATAAGGTACATACATTTTCAATGGAGGAACAGAAAGCTCTCCGACTAAATCTAAAATTAAACTGTGTTCCGAAGATGAACGGAGGTGAACTAACCCTTTAAGCTTATTGAAGGTATGCCACATCAGTGCATCATTGGCTTAGACATTTAAAACTGTGAAACTGTTGAGACATACAATGTAGGTTTTCGAATAGTTCCTACACTGCGGTATGTAAAAACAAAACATAAAACCATAAATCAAGCTGTTTTCCCTTGCAAATTTGAATGTGATTTCTTATATTGGGTAGTACAGACAACATAAACCTGGTTATCAGACATTCTTTTTGTCTGAGATTTAATCTTTGGCGGCATTACAGTTTTGTTTAACGGCCGGTCGTAAAATAAAAGCACTGTTGGCTCAGGACGGCCACTGAGCTTTTGGTTTTAGTGTCTCTCGACCCTGCTGTGAAGTTTTTCCATAGTTACTGTCCCTTTTTGTCGCCATCGTTTCGCTCTACTTTCTACTTACATTTTTTTGAAAAGTCAAAATTAGACGCCAAGAAATTCGCTCAAGAAATATGGAACAAAACGTTTTCAGACGATCCGTTCTGTGAAGCAGCTCCAGTCAGCGGTTTCTGTTTTGAGTGGAGAAGTGAGGGACATGGAAAATGATAGAGAGGAGAGAGTTCGGCACTGCCCGCCCAACCCGTGCCACACGCCCTGCGGTGAACTCGCAGCACGACTGCATTCTGGCACAGATGACACACGCCCTGGCAGGACGTGGCCACCGCTTCACCCCTGTCTGTGTTGGGCCCCGTCCCTTACGGTTCACTAAGGCGTTGTTCAGTCATAGGTTTGGAGCAGATTAGGTCAGATTCATTTTGGTTCAAACTTATTTCGATGAGGCTTTCTGTGGACGTCAGTTATTTTAATGAACTGTTTGCATGGTGTGATGGCTACAGGGGATACAGTGATGAAGTGTGTGTGTGTGTGTGTGTGTGTGTGTCGGTAAGCCAATTGCTAAAGATAATGTGACATGCCTGGAGGAAGATGAACCTCTTTAAACCTCTACAGTCTCGATTAACTGGCAGAGTATTATACAAACTATTTTCTTCTTTTCTTGTGCACATTCAAACATGCAGCTTTGGCACAAGTAACTGTTTTAAGCAGTATTACTAATTCTGCAAAATGTGGGCATGAACTAACTTGAGCATTTTGTCGTTCAATCCCTCTTTCCTCTCCAATTTTCTAGCCTTTTCTCCTATATAGTTTGCTAGCTGCCAGTAGATTTATTTATTTTTTGTTGTTGTTGTCCAAAGACTGTCTATCTGCTTTGGAAGGTTTGATTTATTTCCACCAACCCCTTTTAAATGAATCTGTTCCAAACACTGATTTAGCAATCTAGCTTAATAAATCAATTGTTCATGGAAGTCTATGGTTCTATTGTACATACATCTATTAGGTTCCATATTGACACATTACCTCATTCGTCCTTGTTCATTTATTGATAAACAGTTTTGAACTGGAAATATTTATTTATTGTATTTTAATCATTCAAATGTTCTGAATATGTATAATGTTTTGCTTTTTAACAATTTTAACTATTAGTTGGACCATTTTCTCATCTAGTTGATTGTTCCTGATTAAAATGCTCTTTTAAAGGAGTAGTTCACTTTTTAAAAAAAAAAACTTTTGCTGATAATTTACTCACCCCCGTGTCATCCAAAATGTCCATGTCATTCTTTCTTCAGTCGAAAAGAAATTAAGGTTTTTGATGAAAACATTCCAGCATTTTTCTCCATATAATACACTTTACTGGGAACCAAACGGTTCAAGGTCCAAAAGACAGTTTCAGGGCAAACTGCAAACTGTTCAAAGGGCTTTAAACGATTTCAGACGATGAATAAGGGTCTTATCAAGCGAAACGATCGCTCATTTAATAAATAAATAACAACGTTTAAGTTTTATAAGCTCAAATGGTCGCCTTGCTCTGTTCTACGATGCACGTTTGTGACTCTCCTGTTCGAACTCGTTCATCAAAATGAACAAATCTTTTTCCGAGTCAATTTCTTCATTTAGTTTGTTGAATGAACCATATGACACGAAAAAAAGATTCG